CCCCCCCCCCCCCCCCCCCCCCCCTCCCTCCGCACAAGACTGCTGTGATTCCAGATTGGGCACAATAAAGCACCTCGGGGAGTTCTGTGCTGAGACCGATATTTTCAATAATTGATTTATGTCGGTCTGGGGGAATCGATTCTTCGACCAACCAGAACTTCAATTTGACTTTTTGAGTTCAAAGACTGTGATTTTCCGAACATTTGTAACACCCAGACTTGGTGTGTGACGCATCGCCACCGCAATACCGAAATCAAAGCCGCCTAAAGAACGAACGACGCTCACAGCACCGGGCGGCAGAAGGTGGCAACGCAAGCGAGAGAAATCACCAACCGACGTCACCGCTTACCTCAACGATTCCCTTGATCTGCCGCAGGTAGGCTTCCCTGACCCCCTTCCCGCCCGTGGAGGCCTCCTCCACACCGCCTGCGATCGTCTCGAGCAGCCTCGCCTGTTTCGCCAGCAGCTCCCGCGTCAGCGACAGCATCAACCGCTCCGCCCGGCACCTCCTCAGCTGCTCCTGTCTCTCCAGAGAGTGCTGTCCGAGCTCCTCGAACCTCAGCAGGTACTGCAGCAGCTCGGCGTGGCCCAGGGCGGCATCCTCCTCCCTCTGACGCCGTGCCACGGCCAGCCTCAACCGCGACAGTCGCGCGGCCGACTCCTCTCGCTCTGCGACCGCCACTTCGTAGGCGGCCTCGATCCGGTGCAATCCCTCCGCGAACAGCGCCTTTCCCTCCAGCGCAGGCTTCTTCCTGTGATTCGCCCTCTCCGCCGGGCCGCCGCCGCCGCCGCCGCCGTTCTCTCCACCTCCCAGCACCACCGCCGTTCGCAGGACAGAGACAGTACCCACCCCAGCGGCTGGTACTGCTCCCACGATATTTCCCGCCCCGCTCTTGTCCTCCTCTTGATGCTCCTGTGGCTCCGCCATGGCAGCCAGCGGGTCGTCCACCGCCTTCTCGAGCACGAACCCTCCCCCCTCTCGCCCTTTTCCTGCCCTTCCCCCTCCTTCGCCCGCCGGGGCCCCCGCCGTTGCCGGTGCCGCATCTGGCGGCGGTGAGACAACAGCCACAGCCTCTTCTCCGGGTCCGCCACCACCGCCGCCGCCGTCCCCAGTAGTCTCGCCAGTAAACTCGGCGATCTCCGTACGGAGGGCCGCCTCACGGGCCTTGCCTTGCTCCAGGGCTGCCTGTTCCTGCCGCTCGATCTCCGTCAGAGTGGCCACGAGGCGGCGGAGCTTCTCGAGGGAGGCGCTCTCGTCCGGGGGAAGCGTCCGGGTGATCCGCCCCAGCCGGGCCATCTCTTGGGCCAGCTTGTCGCCGTAGTCTCTCGCCTGTGGTGAAATTTTTTCGTCCGCCGCATGCAAGTGCGCGGGGAGAGGGGGGGTGTAGATTGGGAGCACCGCACCATGTAAGGAGGACGACAGGCGAGTGCACTGGAGATGCCGAACGGCGCGGCGCGGGCAAGTAATCTTTCAGAGCAGCAGCAGTGGCAAGAGCACATGGCAGGGAACGGGTGCGAGTAAGCAAGGGAAAGGAGAAAGTGCACCTGTTCCGCCTCTTCCTCCATGAACTCCCGCCGTTCTCGGGCCGAGGTGAGGGCGATGCGAGCTGCTTGAAGGCGTTCTTCCAGCTCGGCACCCCGCTCCCGGAGGCTTAACACCTCCGCCTGCCTTTGCTGTTGCATGAAACTCTTCTGCTCCGCCTCGTTCTTCCCACTGCTTCCCTCTAGCAGCCCCTCCCCCCCCTCCGGTGAACTGCCGCCGCTGCTGCTGCTGCTGGTAGTGGGGGACATACCTCGCAATAGCACCTGCTTGGTAATAGAATTGCAGGATGGAGTGAAAATTGTGCCGCCCCTGTCTGGACGCATGCGATGTTGCTGCTGCGTGCTTTGGAAGTGCAGATGGACACACTCGAGAACGTACACGAACACACGAGCGGGAGCATAGGAAAGACAACAACAGCAGTTTGACGTTGAGTACCACACATCGCCCGCAGTTACCCCGCACCAGCGGCAGCCGCCATGGCAGACTGCTGAATGTTGCAGCAGCAGGCAACCTGAATTCCGTGGACGACGTTTTCTTCACGAGTGCAAATCTCGCAACTCGAAGTTACTTTTCAATGACAACAAACAAGGTGGCACACCCTTTACGGCGTACGGCCTCGTGAAACGAGGGGAGGTAAAGGCATGCAATGGTGCGGCGGGTTGGGGGGTGGATGCGGAAATCATGAGAGGGAAGAAGGGCCACGTAAAACCTGCTGTTGCCCCGGGATTACCGTCACTGCGGTCAACTACAGTATGTATGCCTGAGGAGGCACAAGAATCCAGCTGGGTCCAGCGTCCAGCGTTTGGCAGAGAAAACCAATGGGGATGTAAGGAAGTACACAGCAAGCAGTCAGGGTCAGCTGGTCAGGATGCTGGTCCGCAGGCGCACACAAGAAATCCTCTCGAAATTGGAAAAAACAATATTTACAGACCTGCTGTTCCCACGTAGCAGAGGAGGCCCTTGAGCAGAACACAGAGATTTTCTCTCCCTGTTTCGGCCACCCTATCAGGCAACTACCTCTGGGCTTCCAACCGCGGCTGTGTAAATGCGTGACCTGAGCGAGTCACACGTCTCTCCTTGACTTGCTTCTTACTGCTTGCCTCGAGATCTCCCTAATCTCCGAGATCTCCCAAACCACTCCCGTAGATTCATACAGTGCTCCTGAAAGACCACCTCTCTCGCCGCCGACGTTCGACTTTCAAGGCTCGAGTGCTCTCCATGCCAGAGGTACTTGCGGCGGCGAAGGAGGCGGCGTTGGAACCGCTCGTCAAGAGCTTTTCGAAAACTTGTCATTTCAATTTGTCATCGTCGTTGTCGTGGAGAAGTCGAGTTTTCAAAATTGGTCTAAGAGGTGGGTGTAGACTAGGTTTACCGTCAACATGTTCTTTACACAAACATCGAGTTGGCGGTAGCCGATGTTGCCGAAACCTCATACCCCGGGGCTTGATTAGGAAAGCAAGGGAGTGCTGTCGACACGAAACACACGGTAACAGGAGGTGTTCCACCGTTCCACCGTGGAACACTTCACTTTGCTACCGCCACCGCCGACCACACCCACCACAAGGGCTGAGGTAATCGGGTGAGGCGAGCAATCCCTCCGAGTCTCTGCTCTAATGTTTTGCGAACACGGCAGTCAGATGTCGCGCGTATGTACGAAGACGGCGGACAGGCGGAAGCCGCGAAAAGTAGGTAAGACCGGCGATGGTAAAACCCATGGGCGCGGCATTATTCTCACGGAGGAGACGGTGACAGAAGCGGCCGTGTGTTGCCGTTGCCCTCTTTGCGCTATTTTGGAGTTTTGAGTCAGGAGGAGAGAAATAAATTTATTTGTAGCAGGCATGATCGTACCACTACTCTGGATAGAAGTCAGTGCTGCCGAAGGCAGACGGGAGTTTGGGTGTGCACATGGTTTCTGTGTTGCTGCTTGTGAGGCTAGTTGGCGTACAAGTCGAACTTGTTGTACCTGTAGTTGGTGACCCCTCATGCTTGTGCTACCGGTAAAATGTTGTATCTTCTGGTCTAAATGTACGCACGGCGCGGCTCCTGGGTATGTAGCACCTTTCGGATGGCGAAATACGACTGGCATGATCAGGAGACGTGTGCATATCATATGCGTACATCATCTCTAGACTAAACCAAGGTGCATATCCTGGTGATGTCCGGCAGCTCATTCTACCCATTTCTTCAATGCACGCGGTCAGGGGGCAGCTGTAGTGTATTTACGTGTTTACTTCGTATTTGCTGCATGATGATGTTGCCGGAACCCTCCTCGCTGACTTCCTACGATTTGGTCCTGCTGTTGGTAACGACAGCAGTACTCCGTATATCGTAGATGTATGCGCCCCCCCTACCCCTGCGCCAGGCGCGGACGTCTGTCACTGAACCTTTGTCCCCACAACAAATGCACCAGAGAGAGATCGATGTATTGTAGGCGCTGACAAGCTCCGAGGAAACCAACTATTGGTTTTCCTGTTGTTGATGGCATGTAGAGGGAGTCGAGCGTAGTAGGCGCCAAGTTTAATGCAGCCCACTCATTGGCCAACGCCGAGTTACATCTGTCCCGACACCTTTTTTTGGTTTCCCCGTTCGCGTTGCTGCTACCGCCGAAGGACTTTTCGGAACCCCTGAGCGATTCGAGCGCCACCGGCCTTGCGCCCGGCCCCCGCGGCCATGACGTTGTAGGCGGACGTCAAGTTTCAAGAGTTTTCGAGAGCGAGACGAAGCTGTGGGGCCAGTTGGCTCATGACACCGAACGAAGAGGCGGCGAGAGTGACGTTCTCGTACAAGGTCATTGCTGAGGCCAAACACACAAGACTGCAGAAATGGAGGCATTCCTATAGCTCACAGGTTTCAAGGGGGCCTGCGCCCAACCGACCTACGTATTACGTGATGTTGGCTGACAGCTCGTCGTTCAAGGGCAAGCGGCATATAGCCAAGTACGACAAGGCCATGGAGGTCAACGGCTTTATCGAGAACATCCGGGCGGAGTTCACGGAGAAGCTCATAGCTGACAAGCGCACCAAGCAGGTCCCTCTCTGTCTCTCTGTCTCTCTCTCTTCTCTCTCTCTCTCTCTCTCTCTCTCTCTNCTCTCTCTCTCTCTCTCTCTCTCTCTCTCTCTCTCTCTCTCTCTCTCTTGCTGTGTTTGTGTATACGTCTTTGCTTATTGTATGCTTGTTAAGCGCACAGATGATTGTTTTCTACGGAGGCTGTATGTTTTTCCATGTTTGGGAAGACCTGTGTTAATCGTTGTTCGTTTTGTGTGGGAGAGTCAAAATGTGTTGGCTCATCACCTTCATGTTCTNGCTTTTTTGTGTGCTTTTTTTACGCGCCCGTGGTTTTGTTTTTTTTCTTCTGTGGAGTTGTGTTTTTTTCCCATTTTTGGGAAGACCTGTGTTTATCGTTGCTTGTTTTGTGTGGGAGAGTCAAAATGTGTTGGCTCATCACTTTCATGTACGGGTTCCGTCGTCCTCATTTCGCCGAACGCAAAGTCTGCCTCCCAGTCGGCCTGTGTCCTGTTGCCGTCTTGCGTTCGTTGATCGTCTTCGCCCATCCCTCCCTCCCTCCCTCCCTTTCTCGTACTATTCTTTTTCGCTACGCAGGAGCTGAAGCAGATGCTGAGAACCATCAAGAGCGGAAAGGGGTCGGTGCCGCTCAAGTCGAACAACAAGGTAAAGGTGCCATGAGGGCCCTTGAGAAGTGTAAGAAGGTCTAGGCCAACGCGAAGACTGACGAAGAGAAGGTGATGGACGGCGATCGAATCCTTGCTCGTTGGTTTTGTTTCCTGTTCTTGTTACCTAAGGGTGATGGCGAACTCCTGCGTGTTTCTGATTTGATTTTTGTGCCTTATTTGAAGGGTGACGATGACTTGTTTTGTGCGTTTCTTTTTTGCTTTCTGTGCCTTCTGTTGAGGGTGACGATGATTTGTTGTTCCTGGTCTATCCCTTTTTTTGCAGCGATGCTGCTGTGTCTCGAAGGCAGTTTTCGAGCATGCAGAAGTCCTANCAACGCGAAGACTGACGAAGAGAAGGTGATGGACGGCGATCGAATCCTTGCTCGTTGGTTTTGTTTCCTGTTCTTGTTACCTAAGGGTGATGGCGAACTCCTGCGTGTTTCTGATTTGATTTTTGTGCCTTATTTTGAAGGGTGACGATGACTTGTTTTGTGTGTTTCTGGTTTGCTTTCTGTGCCTTCTGTTGAGGGTGACTATGATTTGTTGTTTCTGGCCTATCCCTTTTTTTGCAGCCATGCTGCTGTGTCTCGAAGGCAGTTTTCGAGCATGCAGAAGTCCTACTTATACATGCAGGTGGTGGTTGCCGATTGCGTTACATGCAGGCGTGTTTCGAATACTTCTGCTGTAGACTACGGTATGAGTCACCGCGGTGGAGATTCTCTTCTCTGCAGTACTGCTATTGAACCAGGGGTCCCGCAGTATCGCACTACCCCTCCCATCCTTCGCCCCCCGCGAGCCCGCTTCTGTTCGATTCCCCCCCCCTTGTTTCGTTCAACACGTCGGTGGGTTGTTTGCTGACACGGACGGTACCAGTAGTTTTACTTGCTGGCCAGGAGCATGGGGCAACATAGAAACGTTTCAATTCAAGGCCCGTCCGTTAACACAGCAGTGCACCCAACCGCCCAACCGGATGCCTAACTAGGTGGCG